TATGCATCTTCCTCATTAATTTTCGCTGCCCCTACAAATTTGAATATATTTTATGGAAAAAATGCGAAAATATTCTCTCCTCTACTCATCTGGTAGAAAGTAGGTCTTTATAAAAATTAATACTATAAGTTTTTCTACAAAAAGTTGCTGCATTAGTAGAATGCATTTTGTCATTTATGTTCGATGCAAATATATTTTATAGAAAGCATGAGCAAACATATATTTTCTTGTACTCGTTTGGTAGAAGATTGCGCGTTCTTCAAAGCCCATACGTGAAGAAAGGGTACCTTTGAGTTTTACAAAAGTTTTTAATCATGCGATTTTGAGCATTGTGAAATGTTCATTCATAATACATCATATCCCTCAGTTGAATGATGTTGCCTATAAAGTATGCAACGTGGGCCAAATCCATCTCTTCCTCGGAGCGTAACTAATTGGTTACTTTTCCTAAGACGGAAGTTATACAGCTTGCAGTTTGGAAACCTTGAATGCACATTTAACAGCCAGTAGTGCTCAAAAGTATTCGGCAATTTATAAAGTTTTTAACCGAAAAGCACTATTTCCTAAGGTATAAACTTTGAATAAGAAGTAATATGCTGCCAAATAAGTACAAGAATGCATCTTTTTTGTATATTTTCTGCAAAATATATTTGAATTTATCAAAGCTTTTAAAATGCATGGCAGAAAATGCATACTACTTGAGTAGTAATATTATACAGAGTATGATTTGCATGCGTTCAGAAGAAAGCTAATATAACAATTGGCATCCTGACGTAACTTAAATATCTTAAGATTGGGCTATATGATAATCACATTTACAAACCCACTCAAGTGTATATTTTTTAATCGAAAACCCAATTCAGAATCCCGAGTGACATTTCATGAGCTAGGCAACCTGTTGTAAGTTATAATGAATACTGTCTATTAGTTGATGTGGTTGCCTTATTTTCCTCCAAACCACGTAACCTGGCATACCCCAAATCCTACAGGAAAATCCCACCAATGTTCCAATGTAACACGATTTAGACATGCTTAGACTCGGCCAATATAACTGGTGTCAAATCGATAGCAAATATTATCAGCCGTTTAAATGTACAGCAATGGGCTCCGCACAATCAGGCTACTCGCAACAGTTGTACTACGATAACTTGAAGAGGAAACTGTGCAAACCCTTTGGGGCAAGCATGTAGCGACGGTGTGTAGATGGCACATTAATCATCATGAAGACCTGCAAAGTTGGGCAATTTACACCAGAATTTGAATTGCGCCTTTCCAGCTCTAAAATTAACTCGCATAGAGGCAACAGAAAATACCTCTCCGGTAGGAATAGATGGTAGGGCTGTCTAATAGTAAAATGAGATACTCTAGTAGTGCTCTTGGTCGAAAGGCACCCTTTGTAAACCAATAGGAGTTGTCCTTATAGTTTTCTTGATTTGTTGGCTTCATTTGTTAAGCTATAAGTTTTTCTCCTGATCTATTTCGTCTTTTCGCAAGATTTTCACCTATACTTTGGCTAACTAAAACAAGTTTAAGCGCATTTTTTTATTTCCAATTGCACACTTATCACGCATAAAACACGCATTAACTGCTCATTAATCCAGCATTAAACCTTTAATCACGAGTTCCGACAGACACTTGGATTGGGAATCTTTTTCCATTGGGCGGACTTACCATTTATTCCTACCGCTCTAGCGGCAAAAATCACCTTTTACTATAATAGCAACCACCAACCCGTGTCCAGGCTCTTTTCCACTGGGAGTATACACCTAATAGTATCGCGTTTTTCAGTACAACGGTCACCAGCATACCCTTAAATGTAGATCCTTTTTATATTTTTATCAAAGCTTTCAAAATAAGACCTTTTTTAAAGCATTTACTGCACCACGATCGGCGCACATTTCCCTATACCATTGTTAAATACGTGAAATTCTACAATCAGTTTCTATATCTTAATAATAAATTCCTCTTAGATATCAGAACTTCAGAAAATGCGTTTACGTTCAGGAAGTGTTTCGGCTCGTTTTAACAAAGATATTCGGTCCGTTGATCGGTACTGTCTTTCCGCTTTCCTTTAACTGTGCTCTGCT